CCATCTGCCACCTTCCCAAGATGGAAAGTGGGGGAGAGAGAGAGAGAGAGAGGGAAGGGGGGAAGAAATCTGGGGGAAACGCCCCCCCCCCTTGAAAACTCTCGGAGACCAGCTGGTGAGGAGAAATTGGCCGAAGACAGACCAGAAATACATTCCGGCTCTCTTCTCTTTCTTTCTCCCCACCCCAAAAAATATTTCCATAATTATTAAAAGCGGGGAGGACATCCATTTAGATTAGCCCCAGCTATAATTTACAGCCATTATCCTGTTTTGGAAGACAAGCGTTAATAATTCACCCAGCAAGGTTGGGAAATGATGGTGGGGAGAACATCTTCCTTATGGCCATCTCCCACCCTGGGTTTTGCAAAGAAGAGGGGGCTTGAATGAGGAAGGGGAGAAAGGACACCCACCCACCCCAAAAAACGAAGGAGTTCCTTTTAAAAAAGTAAAAGGGGAAAGTGGTTCTAAAGGATCATTAAAGCAGCCTTCTCACCTCTGGTCCAGCTTTGGTTCCCCACAGTTACAGGTAGTCCTCGAATTATGACCACAACTGAGCCCAAAAATTGGCGAAGTGACTTTTGCCCACATCTTACGCCCTTTCTTGGCCACGTTCGTTAAGTGAATCGCTGGTTGTTAAGTGAAACTAGCTTTCCCCCATTGACTTGACCCACTTGACCCACTTGCCTCGCCTGGGCACCGGGCTGCTTCTTTCCGCTTCTTTCTTCCTTCTGCTTTTGGCTGCACGCAAGGAAAGCAGCAAAAGTCTTTCTTTCTCTCCCCCAAACTCCGCCAGAACTGAGTCTTTGGGACCCTGCAAGGCCTCCTGTTCCAAGAGGCTGCGCCAGCAAAGACTCACTTCTGGCGGAGTTTGGGGGAGAGAAAGAAAGACTTCTGCGGCTCCTGCTGCTTTCCTTGCATGAAGCCAAAAGTCTCTCCCTCTCTCCCCCTGAGAACGGAGCTGGAGACAGTATCCTGCGATCCCAAATAAAGAATGAGTGATTGGTAGGGAAATGGGGTGGGGAATTTTCCTGCAGACTTTTGGGGGGATTTTCCCAGGGTCTCTGGTCCGCGGGATTTAAAATGATGAGTTTGGTGGTCCCTGAGGTCCAAAAGGTTGGCGACCCCTGGTCTAGTCCAGCACTCTGCTCAGGCAGCAGACCCTAGACCATTTCAGACAAATGATTGTCCAATCTCTTCTTAAAAACCTCCCGTGTTGAATCAACCACTCCTTAAGTTACAGCCTGGAAGACACCCCACTGGGTAGTCCATGACTTACAGTTTCTTATTTAGCAACCGAAATAAGGGTGGTAAAAATAACGTACGACCATTTTTTACCCTTACGACCTTTCAAGCCTCCCCCACAGTCACGCTATCAACGTAACCTTTAACCAATGTAACAATGGCAGCCGTTCGTTTCACAACAATGGCAAGGTAGGTCGCAAAGTGAGGCGAAACTCAATAAATATCTCACTTAGGGACAGAAAGGTTGGGCTCCGTCGAGAAGCTGGTAAAACCTGGGTGGTTTGCTTGCTTTTGACTAAAAAGAGGGAGAGAGAGAGAGAGCTTTTGAAACGGTGTTGAGCTACGGTAAAATATTTCTCCCGCCTGTGAGAAGAACGGCCATTTCCCCTGCATAAAATCCTTCGGGCTTTTCAACTCTCTTTGATGTTTCAACCAGATTTTTCCGCTCGTAAAAAATCAAAAAGCTTGTTTATTTCCACATTCTGGAAAGGAAAAAAAAGAGAACGAGATTTTTTTGTTCGTTGTTGTTTTTAATCTGAGTTCTTCTAAAGCAGAATTCTCCTCCCGCCCCCCCCCCACTTCCATTATAAAATCCAAAAAACAGAGAGAATCCCACAGTTGGTACAGACTTTAACAAGACACACTTACACAAATACACCCTCGGGTGGGCTCACCATAAATAATATACTTTGTGCACACAAGTTATTTACAACGGCAACCCAAAAAAATAATATTACAAATTAAAAAAAAAAACCACAGACCTCTTTTTTTTTAAAAAAAAAAAGAAGGAACATTGTCCTGAAAAATCCTTGCCTTAGCGTAAAAGGCCCTTTTTTTTTTACAGTAGACTAGGATACAATCTCTATGGTTTTGTTCTCCTGGCTAGAGAAAGGTGGATTTGTTCAAGAGGCAAATATCCAACTGCAAAAAAAAAAAAAAAAAAGCCAAAATAATCATAATAATAAAATAGGATCTTTTTCCAGCCTCGATGTTTCTCGTCTAGTCTTGGCTAAAAGACACCGAAACCAGGCCACAGAGTTGTCATTCAACAAGCATCAGTAGATGTGACCTTCAGAGGAACGTGGACTGTAGGTTTAGGAATGAAATGTGTAGTTGTACATTCTGGCACAAGTTTGTGGGAAGAATTGGAAGATTTGTGGAATAAAATGGACCTCAGCTGTCCCAGCTTGGTTTAAAAATGGGTTCTAAATATCATCCTCCCAGCTTCCATGCTCGTTGAAATATCAAGTAAGTAGTAACTGCAGTACTTGGAGACAGACATCTAGAGGGATACCTAGATAATGATGGGATGAAATTGTGTGTGTGTGTGGGGGTTGGACTAGATGACCTACAAGATCCCTTCCAACTCTGTTAAACACCGGTTAAATCTAGAACTGCAAAGTGCTTTTCTCCAGGAGGCAACTGGACTTTTTAAAAATTCTTTGAAGATGTTTCGCTTCGGAAGAATTTTTGGATGAGAAGCGAAACATCTTCAAAGAAAAGCCAGGAAGGTCCAGTTGCCTGTTGGAAAAAAAAAAAAAAGCACCTCTCCAGAGACATTTAGGTTCTAGAAGGTTTTTAGAGCCCTGTCCCTGGATCCAGAACTGGTGAAGCATCCAGGTCTGCTAAGAGAGTCCAGATCTGAGCTGCAAAAAAACCAACAACGTAGATAGCAGGAAAGGTTGGATGTCCTCCTCAGTGGCCGGAGAACGTTGTAGACCAGATCTGGAACCTCAACTGAAGCAACTGAGAACCAGTTGCTTCTACAAAATCTGGAAGTGCCCCTCCATCCAGCGCTCCAAAATTGAAATTCCCTTCTCTGGTTTTCTCCCCCCTGAAATCAGAATAGCCAGCTTTTCAGAAGCAGAAAAGGCCTCGCAAAAACCAGGTCTCCCCAGTTGGTCTTGATCCTGGAATGAGAGTCGTCCATTTGTCTGTAGGGAATCGGCACGTCTCCCCCCACCCACCCACCCTCCGACCCATATTTAAAGCAGGGTTGTTCTGTGTGTGTTTGTGTTTGCTCAGGGTTTGCATTTCCTTCCTTTCTCTCTCTCTCTCTTTCTGCAGACAGCGCACAATCGGTGAGTTGCGGTTCCATCTGGGGATTTAACGCAATCCATCCCCATGAAGAGAAGCAGGGAAGGAGGTTCAAACTCTATCCTCACTTTGAGATGCCCGAGAACCTGTTGGTGCTCACTCTCAGGTAAACACAAACACACACACACACACACACACACACACACACGTGTGTGTGATGGCACTGTGGAGCTTCCGGGTCTTATCTGACATGTGTTTTGAGATCAATTTTTTTTTAAAGAAATTGTCCTGCTTCCAATGTCATGCCAACCCTATTCTACGATGAAAAAAAGGCACACCTTTGTTCAGTTGCTTTGCTAGATTATGGCCCACGCGGCCCATCAGGAGCAGAGCTGGGGTTTTACCTCATTCTTGTTTTTTGCAAAATGGGAGGAGGCCACGACAATTTGGGGAGGGAGGGGGACAGCTAAGAAAGGGAGCAAGGATCAAACAGGAAGCAGGAAAAAAAAGACCACCAGGCCCTATAAACTCAGAAAATCGATATGGATTCCTGAAGAAAAATATATTTCTTTCTTTTTTTTTTTAAGCAAAGGAAAGGAGACTCTCTAGAAGAGTGATGGCAAACCTTTTTGGCACCGAGTGCCCAAACCAGAACATGTGTGCATGCGTGTTCCTGTGTGCATGCCGGAGCGCTGGAAGACTAGCTGGCTGGTGCGCATATGCCTGTTTTTGGGCCGGTTTTGGCCTGAAAACGGCCTGTTTGGGGGGCGTTTTTGGGGCCATTTTCAGGCCATTTTGGGGGGCTGGTGCCCACGAAGACCAGCTGGCGATGGTGCCCGTGCCCACAAAGAGGGGTGTGAGTGCCACCTCTGGCCCACTTGCCATAGGTTTGCCACCAGGGCTCTAGAACCTGTTGCAAAGCAGAGGGAATGTTGCCATTTGCAAAATAAACTACTTATGTACAGGAAATGTCAAAAAGAGGTTTTCCCAACTGGGCACTTTCTAGGAAGTTTTGGACCATAAACGAACCTTAATTTTTTTGGACTGGGGATGTTGGGAGTTGGGATTCCGGCAGGCCAGGATGAGGGAGAGGGATGTGTTCTACTTTCTCTGTAGCATGGAGCTGAATTCCATCCACAAGTGCCAAATTTGGGGTTGCTGAATTAACTTATGCTCCTGGATTCACACACCTAGGCAGAGTTACACGGTTCATACTACGCCTTAAACCCCGGAGAACTGAACGGGTGCATCTCTAAAACACGGTGGAAGGATGGCTGGCCAATCTCTTGGGATTACCCCTCAAGCTGGCCAAACCCAGAATCCACACCACCTCCTAAAAACCCAACTTAGAACCCAATTAATCCAAGAAGGGGCTGCCCGATAGCCAGTTGAAGATGGCGGGGGAAATAAACCACGACCGGAAAAAGAAAACAAATAAATAAATATCTGATGCCAGAGCAAAGAGAGGCTGGATTTCTGAAAGTGCCAGGGAAGAATTTTTGCAGCATCTCGGTTGGTGGGCTTAGGAAAGAAAGGCGGGTCGTGGGAATGCCTCGAGATGCGTGCAGGCCCCTCCCCGCCTCCTTCCCCTCCCCCCTTCCCCTCCCCTCCCTCCCCCACCCCTTTGCAGGGAGGCGGGGAGTGGGGAGAAGGGGCAGCCGCGTTCCCACGTCTCTTCCTGAAGCAAAGCCCCCCGGGGGGGGGGGGGGCCGCTCCCCCGCGGCTGCGCGGCTCTGGGGAGGACGCCGGCCAGCGGGGGCAGGGGCGGTGGGGGCTCGCTGCCCCCTTGCAGTCCGTGGATGAGGATGCGGGGAACCAGAGGCCGCTGGAGCGCCGGAGGGGGCGCGCTGGGCCCCCGGTACAGGTAGAGCGCAGCGCCGGGATCCAGGTTGGAGACCAAACTTTGCGGGTAGAAGTAGGGCGAAGGGAACATCCGTTGCAGGGCGGAGTAGTTGCCCGCCTCGGCCAGCAGCTCCAGCCCCACCGCCGTCTGCCTCTTCCACTTGGTCCTGGAGGGAGAGAGAAAACGGGATTCATGGGGGTTGGACTAGAAGACCTCCAAGGTCCCTCCCAACTCTTTTATTCTGTTCTGAGGAGGAGGAGGCGAAGAAGAAGAAGAAGAAGAGAGGAGGAGGGGGAGGAGGAGGAGAAGAAGAGAGGAAGAGGAGGAGAAGAGGAGGAGAAAGAGAAGGAGAAGAAGAGAGGAGGAGGAGAAGAGGAGGAGAAGAGGAGAAGAAGATAGGAGGGAAGAGAGGAGGAGAGAGGAGGAGAAGAAGAGGAGGGTGAGAAGAGAAGGAGGAGAAGGAGAAGAAGGAGGAGAAGAAGAGAGGAGGAGAAGGAGAAGAGGAGAAGAAAGGAGAAGGAGAAAGGAGGAGGAGAAAGGGAAGAAGAGAGGAGGAGGAGCAGAAGGAGGAGACAGTCAATCCTTCAGGTCATAGTTGATGTCCCAAAGGTGCTTCCCCTCCCCCGCCCTGCCAAAAAAAAAGCAACTGGACTTTCTTGGTTTTTCTTCTTTGGAAACAGAATACCCCAAAGTAGTCCCTGACTTACAACATTTCGTTTAGCGACCGTTCAAAGTTACAACCGTACCAGAAAAAACCGTTATTTGTGATTGTTTTTCACACTTAACGACCATTGTGGCCTCCATTGTAGTCCCGTGATCCACATTCAGCCATTTGGAAATCGTCTCGTGTTTATGACGGTCGCAGCGTCCCGGAGGGACGACCTTCCGATCCGCAAAGTCAAGGGAGGAGCCCGATTCACTTAATAGCCATGTGGCTAACTTAACAATGGCAGAGATTCACTTAGCGATGGTGGCGAGAAAGGTCGTAAAACGGGGCAAACTCCCCGCAAGTCTCCAGCCGGGTGTCTTAACCACTGGACCAAACTGCCTCTCTTCCTTAGAGGAACTTTTCTTTCTTTTCTTTTTTATAAAATTTTTATTTCAGTTTCCCACATTTTAAAAATGTCTCTTTTTAGTGAACAGCATGATTTCCACATTTCCGTACCAATATGACCCGAATTACACATCCATCTTCCGCATTCAACTTCATCTCTTCCCAATACTTGACATATTTTCTATGATTATATTTTTTCCAAATACTTTCCTCCTATTTAAATCCCAAGTAACTATCCCGAGTAGCTGCCTCTGTTCCGTAGAGGATCTTTTCGGCCCTACGACCCACTCCCCAGAGAGAGACAAACTCCCCCCACACAAGACTCTCTGAGGGATCCTTAAAAATCAAACTCATTTGCCGCCCCTGTGTTGGAAAAATACTACAAGTTTAAAATCCCATTAAACAACCGGGAGAAGAAGCAGCAGCGGCTGCCTCGATTCTTAATGTTTAATGCAGCCAATATTGATAAAATATAACTCACATGAATGAAAACACCCCCACTCCCCGACTTTTAAAACTTCTCACTTAGAGCTTCTGTTCAAAATCCACCCCTTTTAGGTGCTCCCGGAGGTTTGTCCTCTACGGGAGGTCCTCGACGTACGACCGCAACGTAGCCCCAAAGTTCTGTGGCTAAGCGAGGGTAGTTGTCGCATGAGATTTTGCCCCGCCTTCCTTGCCGCAGCGATAAAGGAACTAACCTGGTTAGTTAAGGGAATCTTGGCTTCCCCAGATTGACCCTGCTGATCAGGAGGTCGCCAAAGGGACTCTGCAACTGTCATAAGTACAAGTCAGTTGCCAAGCCTGTGAATTTTGATCACGTGGCCACGGGGATGCTGTGTGCAAAAAATGGTCCTTAGGTCACTTTTCTCGGCACCGCTGTCATTTTGAGCAGTCCTTAAATGAAACTGTATGGCCTCCAGGTTCTAACTCAAGGAGTGGTTGATCCCTTACCCTCCGCCACTAAATGAATGGTTGTTGTAAGTTGAGTCTCGAGAAATCAAGCATCTCTGAAGTGGACGGTTAGAAAGACAGAAATTTGCCACCTCCTTTTCTCTCTGTTCTACCTGCTCCATCCAGGCAGGTAGTAATAACCCAGGTGACCAACCACCTCACAGAGAACAAACAAGCCGCAAACTCAATCACGTTTTGAGTCAAGTAGCCCATCATCCTCGGCTTCTCACCTTTTCTGCCCAGGAGCAATTCCATCTCTCTTTCCCCCCAGTAAATTATTCATTGTCATCATAATTGTGTAATTACTGTAACTGCCCTTAATTATTGATGCCCAAAGCATCAAGTGGGATATATTATTAATAGCCCAGCGATGTGCAGTTGTGTCTTTAGCTGAAAAAAAAATAGATTTCTTTCCCTTTCTCTCTTTTTTCCTCTCCCACCCACTCAAATCAAACAGTTGGTTCTCCCCCCTCTCCTTCCTCTTCCTCCTCCTCCTCCTCCTCTTCCT